TAGGTACTATTGGAAGGGTGCAAACCTGATGTATTGATTTTCGCTAGGAATGTAGTTCCGATGGAGGCTTAGATACTGCTCACGACTGAAATGTTGTATTGTCTCCTCATCAATCCACACGAATGGCTCGATATCTTCTTCGGGTTCTTCAGGCACTCCTTTAAGATCTTTTCCATCCCATACGTCATCACTTGTTGCACATTTAGAATGGACAGCATAATGACATCCGTTAGTGCAAGAGTATTGCCCGTAATTGATGTCAACTGTTTTGCGACAAACTCCGCAAGGGAAATCACCGTGAGGAATAGAGGAAGAGTAGGAGACGCGGTGTTGGTGACGAGTGATCTTAATGACACGAGGCAAGTAGATACATGCAAGGCCGTGCCAGTAACATTAAAAGGTTTTCAAATCCTTAGGCTCTCAAATTTATCTTTCTGTAAGATTCTCCATCAAATAGAACTTCATGTAAGAATTTTCTCTGTAATTATCACGGGAACATGATTAAAGACCGATTCCATCACTAGCTAGACAGTCTCTCTTTTTATTTATTTTAATCCAGCCCAACTACTTTTTGTTCTTCTCAATTACTCAAAGACCAACATTTTTTAATAGATCTTAGTTGTATTCCCTTAATATTTGGAACCAAATTTCTTGTTATTGATATAAGTTTTAATTTTCTCAGGGAAGAAGAAACTCACTGGTAGTGGGAAGAGAAGGATTTGAAGAAGTGTATATGTACATTCCTGGTTCGAGACTTGAGAGTTACACCAAGTCTGCTGCTTATGTTTGTATTGGACCATCTTCATTGTTAAACCCAATCTATTTAGAACCTGGTTGTGTTTGGAGAGGTGTGCTACATCTACACAATCCGAATTCTTAAGGTTGATGATACACTTTTTATTCAGAGTTATATAAATTAGTTCGATTTTATTGTTACTCCATCAAGTCAACACAATGTTACTCATAGAACCGGGAACGTAAATCACTTCGTACGTGCAGAGTTTGTCAACAGCATCACTAGATGAAAGAATGAAACCAAATTTTAAGAAAGAA